GGAGTTGTCTGGTTAGTCTTGCCATTTTCAGGGCTGTTGATTTTCCTTGGGAGAAAGCGCTCCTCCGACCAGCCGCTTCACTGACGAGAGTCTGACTATTGGTTAGGGCTTGAGCTGCTTTGCCATGGAAAGTTGCTTAACCTCCGAGCGCAGTCTGACCAACAAGAGCCAGATGTAGTTTGTGGCACCACGTTTTCAACTTTGTCCATTTCCTGACTTCCCTAACTTGATATGAACCACCCAGAGATGTGGAGCTCAGGGACATGGGCTTGAAACCCAGATTTGAGAGAAAGTCGTGTGACTCTCTGGGCTTCTGCTTTTCCACCTGCAAGGTGGCCATGGGACCCCCAGCCTCATGAGCTGGACTCAGTGGACCAGTGAGAAGTGGTCAGAAGGTGAGCGTGTGCAGAGAGGAGGACCTGCCTTGGTCATGCTTCTGTGCGAATCATGGCCCTGCCTTGGACTAGCCATGTGGCTTTTTTGGAAGGCAGCTGTGCTCACCACTGTACCACCAATGCCAACTCATGCGGCTTTTTGGATAGGTCACGTACCCACCCAGGCTTCCCTGTCAGTTCATGTGTAGACAAGGGTAGTTCGTGTGGCCTTTTTGATAGCCCATGTACCTGCCCAAGCTTCTCTGTCACTTCATATGTAGATGAGGGTAGTCAAGGCAGGGTTATCAAGGCAGGCTAACGCCAAGCTCTCCTGCAGCTGTGCGGTGCAGGCGGACCCTGAGCAAGTCTGCAGCGCCCACTCCGGGCATGGCACTTGTTTTCTGCGCTGTGGAGAAAGTGCGTTTCCTTTAAGAACCCGTAGTCTTCTGAATGAGGAGCAGGCTTTCTGCAGGAGGTCCCGGTGCTGGGCTGCTTCTCACTTCTTAGCTGGTATGGGAGGAGTCCAGAGAAGTTCTGGGCGTCTCAGAGGCCCCACTCCGTTGGTCTGGGTGGGCAGCTGGCACAGACTGGGTTCTTCTCCAGAAAAGTTTTTTCTCCAGTCCTAGGACATTGTGCCCAATGAAAAAGCAGTACTTCACAAATTGTAAGATTTAGGGGTTAATAAGGGACCCCATTGTACCCATAAACATATTAAAGGCCCAGGGAGCTCCAGGGATGGGAGGGGCTGCTAATGTTGAGCTCGCCTTTTCCTAAACAGGTTGAACGCCACCCCCTGGAATATAGTCTAGAATTTGCACGTAAAAAAAAGTCTTCTCCCCATGACTTTATTGTATTTAAGGTAAAGATTCTCTCCTCCAATTTCAGTCACTGTGCCCGCCTCCGTGGTTTTTGTACTCATGTTATTCTTACTCATGTGCTCATGTTTGTCTTTCAATCCATTCATTTTCGAAAAGCTTCCTTCTTTCAAAGGAGTCTATGTCACTGCAATAAAGGGGAAGTCAGGGCTACTGGGAGACATGCCTGAGGGCAGAACAGAGCTTGGTGAGCCCCTCACCTGGTCTCTGAAGCACACCACCTGGGGCAGGCCCCTTTCCAGTTCATTCTGTATGTTTCCCTCTTTCATGGTTATGTGGGGACACAGGATCCCGCCCCCCTGCACAGAGTGGGAGAATCAGACACAAGCTGAAGTGGCCTCTCCCCTGTTGGGCTGGCGGCTGCTGGCAGGCAAGCTGTGCCAGGTTTAGGCCCTGTGGGCTGTGCTCCAGCCCTTATCTCCAGCTCTCTGACGTGCCTTTGGGGGCTTTTCACAGTTTGGATTCATTTAATTAATTGAACCATTCCATTGTCTCAGGAGATGTCAAATAAAGGGGCATTTTTATTTGACAATCATAACAAAGACCTGTGTGATGATAAGAAGATAAACTCTGTATGGCTCTTCTGTCTACAAATTAAAGTCCCGTGAGCTGACTGCAAATTAGTTGTTCAGAGTCTAGGGATTATTTTCTTGGGCCAGTAACAGATGCCTTTTGGCAAGATGAGAACTTTCTAATTCCCCCAGTGTGTACCCCGCTTTCCTTTTGTCTCATTTGAAGGTAGCGTCACCTCTGGATGCAGCCTGTCCAGCTCCTGGGTCATTTAGGTCTGTCTCCCATCTTAGGAGACACACGTGGCAGCAGATTGTTAGGAGCATGATTAAAACAAGACTCAATAGAAACAAACACACACACACACACACACACACACACACACACACACACACGCGTGAGCGCATGCGTCATGTCCGTGTCAGAGTCCGGGTTTAGTATTTTACTGTGGGAAACTAGTCAGGGTGCATAAGGCCTCTTAGTATTATCTTTGCAACTTCATGCAAATCTATAATTATTCCAAAATAAAAATTAAAGAACAAGAAGGTCTTGATCCCACCTAGGGGCCAGGAGCCAGCTGCCTCTTGGGTATCGCCAGCGTTCCTGACTTCCCCCGCCCCCCTCTGATGTTTGAGCTTCGTGTGGAAGCTGCTCCATTGACCTGAAGGTGTTGCCTTCCCACAACAGGCAGTAAGTTGATTGGTGCAGAGTTGGCCGGGAGGAGTTTGTGGCTCCCTCAGGCACCCAACCCAGTGGAGTGAGCTCTTCTCTGTGGTGTCCTGTCATCTTGATGGAAGGTAGATTTATATAAAGAAATCTTGAATTTTTTCTGTTAGGTCTGATTTCACACACAGTTAAGAGGTTGATCTAAACCTGAAGAAAAGCAGTCACCAGCATTTCCATGCTGGCCGGTGAGACAAAGATGAACAAGGAAGCTGAGGGTCAGCCCGTGTGGTGTGAGCAAGTGGGATGAGCTCCAGCTGCCAGCGTGACTTGTCATGTGCCAATCTGCCTCAAGGCACTGCTGTTTTGCCCCTTGGGGATGGTGTGCCGTGACCTGTTGTTGAATTAGGCCATGTAGAAATGCATGTGAATCATTCTCTCCCCAGCATTAAGACAATGTGTGACTTAACAACAGCTCCCACAAAAGGGAAGCACAAGGTCACTCTTGATGAAATGGAAGTGGTGACAACAGCAAGCCGGAGACAGTTGTAACATGAATTCATGGTGGAGCTTGGGAGCAGACTGGGAGGACTGACAAGCCTCCAGGTGAGGGGACTCAAGGAAACAAATCCCATAGTTCTCATACCTGTGAAATGTGTCCCCTACCACAAACTCTTTCAGGACTCATTTCAGATGTTTGCTATTCCTCTCGCAGACAGAGAAAGCTCAGACACCTGTGGAAACAGCTGTGACAGGCTGTCTGGGGGGAGGGAGGAAACTAAGGGACCCTTATGAGGCTTACATCCCCGAGTGCTCTGGGAACTGGGCAGCCATCTCAGATACCCACGTACCTGCAGTTGATGCAGATAGTGTCTGCATTTGACGCTGATGTTCTTCCTGCCAAAATATAATGCAGGCCAGTGAAATGCAAACACAGTGCCGTGTTTGTGAGCTGAGGTCCACGCACATGCACTGCAGACAGGCAGAGCCAGTGCTTTGCACGCGCACCTACTGCTTTGCACGGGGTGGTGTGTGTGTCCCAGGCATAGCATCTCCATCCACGAACAGATGGAGCCAGACGCTCACTGCTGTGAATTATTAAGCAAGACCACCCCAGTGCAGAAACCTTTATTATGTGATGTGGTTTTATCAAGTAGACTGTGTGAGCATACCGGGTTTATGGTGATTATATGGGCGCGGAGGAAGGCATTCAAAACATACATACCAGGTTTTCAGCTCTGGTTACCATGGGGAACGGCTGAGTAGAGCAGTAAGCAAGACAAAGATTTCGAACAACAACAAAAAACATGTTTGATCCATGAAAAATTATACTTAGGGGCAAGTGTGTGTGTACCTAGAGAGGTGTGGCAGGATAAAAACAAAATGCTAGTGGGGTTCATTTCAAGGTGTTGGATTGTTGACTGAGTTTTATATTCTTTCTCAATCAGTTGTGAGTGTTTCACAATGAATACTTTATTTTTAGAATCATAAGAGAAACCCCATCCTAAAGCTCTTTTCATTGTGAGGAAGAAATTTTGTATCATGTTTTAAAGTTCTCAGGCTCAAAGCCTTGGTGGGGGCAGGCAGTAATGAAGTGTGGCAGAAAGACCACACTCGGGGGGTGAGAAACCAAGTCTGAATCCCAGAGGTAACAAAGCTCTTGTGAGCTGTGGCCCCAGAGAACTGAGTTTGTATCTTGGCATTGTGACTTACTTGTGACCTTGACCTTAGCCACATGACCTTGGTTAGAGACCTTATTTGTGCCCCAATTACTTCCTCTAAAATGGGAAGTCTCCTTCAGGGTCATCGTACCTGACACATCATAGGCACTTAAGAAACATATTTCCACTGAATGAGGAATGAATCAATGAATGTGAGCTTGATTCAGTGAGGCTATAGATTTAAAGTCTGAGCTGCGTGGCAAGTACTCAGCCAAGGTAGTTTCTCTCCCTGATCCTCATGTGGTTTTCCTCAACCACTGTGCTTGGGAGTGAATTCAGTATAGTGGGGTCTTGTCGTAGCCTGAGTTCCCTGTTCCACAGTGTAATTGTATATAGGGATGGATGTGGACTTAGTCAACTTCTTCTTTACACCTCAGTTCCCTCATCTCTAAAATGGGTGATGTGACAGTACCTTGGAAGGATTTAATGAGATGATATATAAAGCCTTCACATGATGCCTGGGAAAGAGTTACTGTGGTTCAGCAGAATGTTAAGAGCATATTCCAGGTTGAATAGCAGGTGCTCCTGTGAATGGATAGAGTATCACAGAGCACCTGACACTGACTAGCACTTAGCAGATCCAGGTAACATTCATCAGGTGTCAGCACCCTGAGCTGGTGGGCTTGGACCCCACCGGGGCTTATTTTCATCATGGAAGAACAGTGTGTGAAGGCATTCTGCAGATGTCCCCTTGTGAATGGTCTCTTATGGTGAAGAGCTCGGCAACAGAGAACTATGGCTATTTATGACAAGCACCTTGTATGTGTTTCCTTACAGGTCCTCCCCCCGCACCCCTCCCCCCAACTTGGGTCTGAGTTACCAGTTGCTAAACATTTTTAAAATTCTTGTCCCTGCAGAGAAAACGAGGTGCTCAAAGTCCAACTGAAGAAATACGTAGGAGCTGTCCAGATGCTGAAAAGAGAAGGTCAAACCACTGAAGGTGAGGTGGTGAGGGAAGAAGCGGGCTTGTCGTCGTCATAGCCCCTGCGCCTGGCACACAGTAGGCCCTCAGCAGGCTGTGAGCACATTCGTGGATGAATTAGATGAAGGGTGCCAGTCAGGGTTTTGGAAGCCGAAGTAGATGGGAAGCCCTGCTGTGTATTCTTGCTAAATGCATCTTTAACGTTGTAAGACTTGCTAGATTATTAGCAACAGTTCAGTTGTCTCAATTTGTATACTTAGGGGATTTTATGTCTAGGTCTTGAGATCTTTCCAAGGATCTTGCAACTTGATTTAGTCCTGTCAGGCCAGGGCTGAAAGCAACCTGCCAGAGCGATGGAGACTCAGAACCCTGGACTTAGGCTGACCGGGTTTCAGTGCCGCTCTTAGTTTCTTAATTTCTCTGCCCCTTGATTTTCTCATCTGTAAAATGGGATTAGTTGACAGCGCCTACCTCATGGGGCAACCGTGTCGACATCTTAGCACAGTGCCTACTGTGGTGTAAGTACTGGATAAATTTTAGCTATGTATTACTCTCCAGAAACAGAATGTGTGGGATCTGGATGTAATAGCACAAAGACTTGAGTTTCCCCAAAAGCATTTGTATTTATTATGGTCTCTGTTTGACCAGGTTTAATATGTCAGTGAATGTTTTTCCCACAACATGCCTTGCTTCCTTCATTATCCATCTCCATCTGTTACCAGTCAGGGGACGATTGCAGAATCGACTGTGGCTTCCTCTGGGGACTCACCACCCTTTTCCTGTAGATATCAATCTTCTGGCCCCAGATTCATTTCATTATGGTCTGTATGTTTGTTTGCCCAGCACCTGGCTTTTGCATTCATTTGTCCATTTGATCTGTGTTTTGGTGAATGGTATTTGTCTTTGTCTAACCCTTTTCCCTTTCCAAGCAGTTTCAAATCTATCCTCCTTTGACACAGTGATGAGTAGATATTTCCCCTCCTATTTTAAAAAAGTTCATTATTGGAAGCTCAAGAGAGCTTAGGGGCTCATATATGTATCTGGGGAGGAAATGAACTCAAGTTTTCCTCCAAGTTCCTGGTTCTCTGGAGTTGTACAGTTGATTCACGTGCAGAGAAGTCACCTAGGGCACCGAGTCAGTGGTTCATAGAGGAGAAGAGAACTCCCCTTCTTGGGATTGGAATGGGGCTCTGGATTAGCCCGACTAGGTATGCGACTCTCATGCAGGTGAGAGCACACTCCCACCCCCCTGAGAATGCACACTCTATTTAGTACTTTGACTTGTTGCAATAAGAAATACAAGACTAGGGAAAAGGAAGCACCACTAGACTTGATTTTAACTTCAAACGTCAACCCCTAGACAAGACATTTCTGACTGGGAGCATGTTTGGAGTGATTCTCCCACCTTGCCCAAGTGGGTACACAGATCCAGCCAGCACAAGATGGGTTCTTGTGGCAGCTGAAGTTTCTTTCCTAAGACCTGGCTTGAATGCTCTGGGACCTAGCTGGGTTTAAGCCCTTTTAGGACAGTGCTGAGAAAGTCCTGACAGAGGCTGGTGCGGAGAGGATGCGGCCCTGTGTATCTCACACAGCCGCAGTGCTGTGCTGCCTGTTTCTACCGTGTGGTTGACCGGGCTGCTGCCTGTGCTTGGAGTGTCCCCTAGGGAAGGTTTGTGTGAGAGTCTTGAATGTAGGCATGAGCCGGACTTCCCCCTGCTGCCTATTGAAGTCTGCGGTCCACTCCTTTCACTTGACAATAGTGAGCAGGAGCCATGGGTCAGTGACTGAAGCAGCCTCATTGAAAGCCAATTCAAAGATGGTGCCGTGGCCTCCTTTCAGGAGCCTCTACCAGTTCTCAAGTGGTGTCTGTTACTCAACGAAATGGGGGCTCCTCAAACCAGCTCACTGCTGGCTCCATTTGTTGAGAACCAATGAGTGTGCACCCTGGCCAGACTGAGGTGGCCTTGGGGGTGCCCTGTCCAGATTGGGGTATCTGGGGGGTGTAGAAGAGTAAATACAGGCAGAGTTTGAGGAGGGAGAATGCTTGCTTGCTGACATGTCCTTGACCTCTGGTGTTGAGGCACGGATATGATGTTCCAGGTCCCCAAATTCTAGGTGAGACTTCAGAAGGCATTTTCTACGATAGAAGCCTTTTCCCTGAGTATGTCAAGATTCGTTTTATCTTTGACAACAAATTGTTTATGAAACTGTGAGCTCATTAGTAGGGAAAAGAGTGAAAATTCATTAAAGGCTCAGATGCCCCCAGAGTTGAATAGATTGCTGATCCTCACCTTCATTATTACATTGTTGCTGTGGAAAAGTACCTCCAGGATTAAAAAACAAAAAAGGTCAGCTGAATATGAACCTTTACAATATGTGGTTGACAACCTTTGACTTTACGGGTATCAAATTTCAGATCCCCACCCTCCTCCTTTCTTAAGAGAGATAGAACCCCTCTGAGGGAATCACGAGCTAATCAGCACAATGTGGAGTGGGGCTTTGGGTGACCCCAGCAACTAATTGAAAGAGTGCCTGCCCCTCCCCAGCTGGTTCAGGAGTGAGGGTGGGTTACTCACCACTCAAGTGCTGCCTTTCCTAGATACAGCTGTATTTCTGGAGCTCATCCTGGAGGGTGGAGGCTGCTATCATTGTGCCTCTCCCCCATAGACCATAAGGGTGCGGGCTATTAAGTCCACAAGGAGCTGGCTCGGCAGATAAACTTCCATTGTTTCTCTTACCAGCCCCTTGACCTTTCTGTGGTTGATGGAGTTGGGCGGCCTATCTCCTCCTGGAGCCAGCATGGAGGGTGAGCAGGGGTCGCTCTCTAAACTCAAGTTTTCCTCTCAGGCTTATCACTGAAGTTTGAAACAGGAAGTGTGGCCACTTGGTTTCTTGCTAGAGATGTCACTGAGGGGCCTGGGGAACAGGTGATCCCCTTAACCTCAGATATCTGATGGGTTTTGCTGGCAAGAGTAGGAGTGGACTTGCATTAGCCACACACACAGAGCAGTGTACTGTCAAAGGAGTGATTTACTCATCGGTAGTGAGAAGGAGAGCCTCTGGGTAGACCAGATGCCCCAAAATATGTATTTTTGTAGGTTGTTGCTGTGAGGGTTGAATGCTAATTGACACAGCTTGGGTAACATGCTTGGATCAGAAGCTGGGATTGAGAAGAGCTGTGGTAGAATAACAGTCTCCCCAAGTCAACCTCTTCACCCCTGGAAGCTTGACTCTGCACCTTTAAGCAGCAAAGGGGCTTTACAGGTGTAATTAAGTGAAGGATGTTGGGGTGGGGGTCGTCCTAGCTTATCTGAGTGACCCCAGTGTAATCATTAGGATCCTTAGGAGAGAGAGGCAGGAGGGTGTGAGAGGGAAGATGTGACAACAGGCGCACAGGGGTTGGAGTCTCTCTGAAGAGACAGGAAGGAAATCAAAGCAAGAAATGTGGATCCTTTAGGAACTGGGAAAGTCTAGAGTGGATTCTCCCTCCTGAGTCCTCTCACAGGAAGGCAGCCCTGTCTGCACCTTGATTTTAGCTCATTAGTCCCATTGGGGACTTATGACCCCTGAACTTTAATATAGTGAATGTTTTATTTTATTTTATTTTTTTTAAAGATTTATTTATTTATTTATACAAGCACTGGGTACAGTCAGAAGCGCGGGAGGGTGAGAGAATTCACCAGAGACAGAGCTGGGAGCAGAGCAGGCAGAAGGACCGAAGTACACTGCTGAGGGGAGCAGCGGGCGGCAGGAGAGGTCTGTGCGCCATGTGGGACCCTCCTGTGGTGGCCGGGGAGCAGCTGGGGTTCGAACCGGCGCTGCAGAGGCTGCGGGCAGCTTCGCAACCCAGCACTCAACCGTTGCACCACCGGGGAGGCCCTAATATAGTGAATGTTTTAATCCACTGAGTTTGTGGGACTTGTTAGAGCAACAACAGAAAGCAAATATAAAAATTCAGTTAAATTGAGGTATTACATTTGTCCCTGGTGAACTTGGGGGCCATTGCATCTAGAGCTTAGAGCCGGAGGTTGATGTGTTAAAGGTCAGGTTTTGATCAAAGCGCCCCTGGTGGAAAAACTTGGTACCGCAGAGGAGAGCTGTGGCCTCCGACTTGCAGGAAAGGCGTGGGACAGAAAAGCCTCCCGCCCTTCCGCACCCCCGTGTATGGTGTGCTTGTCTGGCCACGCAAGGAGAGTCCTTGCCCCCGTGATGTGCCGCCCCTGTCTGGGTCACCAGATGACATCTGTTACCGGCCTGCACTGGACACGGGAGGAGAAGCCTAGAGAGCTGTGTGGCTGAGGACCCAATGGCCCCTGGCCCTGTGGCATCATTCTTTGGGTGGAGAGGCTGGATTCTCTGAATGTCCCATGGAGGGGGGGTCCAGAGGTGCTCTTGGCTGCGATCTGAGCTTATTCTCTGTGCCAGGGAAGGGCTTCTCCTGCCCGCCATTCCAGAGGGATGGCGGGGATGGGGGGGTCGGCCTTGTTACATGGCTGGGGTTGTCTCCCCCATCTGCCTGTATGTGGGGCATCACTGGGGTTCCCGTAGGGTCAGGTGCCATCTGATAGCTTTCCTTTGACCAGCTTCCTCACTGGCTGTTGTAGGCGGGACTCCACCCTCCGCCCTGCCCTTGACCTCGGCCGGCCGGCTGCCTCCAGCTGGGTCTTAGGCGCCAGTGGGCCCTCAAGAAGTGTGCTTTCTTTTCCATTGGGCCTGCAAGGCGGGGTCCACTGGTTACCTGTCTCTGCTTGGGACCTGGAACGAGCCCATCACATAGAGGAGCTGAGTTCTGATTCTGTCATTTGAACCCCTGAATCTGGGGACACCTGATATGAGCCCTGACCTTTTATAATAAAAACCCTGTCCCTTTATTAACAAGTGTCTCCATTACACCTCACCCTGACAGTTTTGAAGCTTTATTTGGCTTTCCTTCACTCGCATGCTCTATGCAAACTTACCTCCTGCTGGACACGAAGGCCGCCCTCTCTTTGTGAAGGGCTGCGCTTCCCTGGGGTCTG